CAACTGGTGTCTATACTCTGGGTGGGGTGGGGGGGAGAACCAGGGTTCTCTAGGAGCTGAACTGGCTCCAACGTGACATGCTTGGCAACGGAATGTAGGAATCGAGTCAATACTCTGTGACAGTTTCAGTATTAGTAATAATAGTAATCCTTGTATTTGGTATAGTGCCTTATCATGTCGAAAAAATGTTTCAAAGTGCTTCACAGGATTTACTGTGAAATTAAGTGACTGTGTATTTGGGGGCAAATGCGGCAGCACAATTGCACACAGCAATGGCCCACAGACAGCCATAAAACGAATGGCTAATTTTAGTTGGGAAATTATTGGCCAGGACAACGGGAGAAACTCCCTTCTCTTTCTAATAGTGCCCTGGGATCTTTAACGTCCATCTGAACAGACAGCCGTAACCTGTGTTTAATGTCTTGTCCAAAGGACAGAAACTCTGACAATGCAACACCCCTCCAGCCTTGCATTGGAGTGTCAGCTTAGACTGTGTGGCTCCCAAGGATATTTCCATGTGTAGGTGGCATACAAAAGAGAAGGGAGTTTCCCCCGTTGTCCCAGCCATAAATATACCAGCCATTCTTTTTCATTTTAAGTGATATAATGCATCAATTTAGTGCAGGCACTGTTCTTTGTCCCTGCATCCACCATAATTTGATATATCACCACCTTTAGTGCCAGGATAGAGAGAAGATTTGCTCCTATCCCAAAGGCCAAAAGGTAGCATTCAAAACCATTGCAGCTCGCAATTGTTTGTGATGTAGTTTTGGTCCATTTGACATTGTTTATAGCAATGTTTATTAACAGTGCTTGCCTCATTACCACAAGAAGCCCTAAACTAACTTACATCAATTAAATTGTATTTATTTGTAAGCCATGCCCTGCAGTAATTTAAAGAACAAATTACAAATGCAAATCATGCTGTGCCTTCTTGTTAATGACATTGAGTTACATGGTGTACTTTAAACTGTATCACTGTGCCACACATTAGTGAGCAAGAATGTATAGGACAACAGGTGTGTGAGAGAGACAAGCAAATTGGAGGCTGGGTGGGCAAGAAACTATCTGCAAGACCAGCTGGAAATGTTTTGTTAAATTTGTAATTGTCTCTGTTGACCGAATTCACATGATTTCATGTTGCATTTAATCAGAGGCAAGAGCTAAAATTCATTGGCGAATAACATGAGGGATTAATTCCTTCACAAAAGAACCAGATAAGTATCTACTTGAGTTACCAACTGCAAAACAAAGACTTCATTGGACACATTGAATTCTGTGCTATTAAGGCCAAAATAGGATACACATTGGGCCTACAGCTACACAAAAATACAGTCACTGCAGTAAACAGTAAAATCCCAGAAGATCTCTTCCCAGTAGATCTTCACTTTAAAGTAAAATCCTGTGACTCATTCAGTGACATAATAAGGCACTACCTCAAATGCAAGAGTCATTATTATATTGTCTATGGAGAGAAGGAGACAAGATATGAACAGTGGAAAGGAAGAAATATTCTGGAAATGTTGTTTAATTGATGTTGGGTTCATGTTATCTTTATATAGAGCCTCACACCAGCAAATCCATTTGATGAGATGACATTTATTATGAGGTTGGCTTTGTATGGTCTATGGAGGGTGAGGACGGGCTTGAATGATTCAATGGCTTATTCTCATGCAGTGCTTTCTTGTTATGATATACTGTGAGATCTTTACCCAATTATATTCATATTTATCATACTAAAAAGACTCAGTGACAGTAACCTTTCCTGCTAGTAATTTCTTGAATTTCTGCTTAACAGTGGGAATAAATATTTATAATAATTAATAACGTCTATTTGAATATCACTTTTCACATAAAATTTTTTAAAAAAAATAACTGGTTAGAAACAAATGTGAATGTTATTTGTGAATGTTAACCAGCCAAACCAGATTCATGAGTTACTGAGTGCGCCTACAAAATACATTACCACTGTACTTTATGGTAAATCCTGTGAAGCACTTTGAGATGTCCTCCTGCTGTGAAAGTTGCTATATGAAAAGCAAGCATCATTATTACGAGTTGGTTGTTTTTTTATTTGGGGAGGAATACTGTTCTTTAAGATAGAGGACCCTCCTTTGAGACGTCAAGATAATATTGTATCATTAGTACAAAACATCTGTCCAGAACCTGGAGATTATGGTATATTTAACACACAGAAGAGCCCTCCAAGGTTTACAGATTACTGCATATTTCAAACACAGACTGCTGCGTTCCTCTGAGACTTGAGCGTTAATTTTGCTTTAACGCAGAGGAGTTGTGCAGAGTTCAACTGCTTACATAAATCTGCAGGTTCAGATTTGTACTCACTAAGTCATACCCACAACCTGTTTGGTGATGTTTGGAGGATCTAAGGGGACTTTTATCCTTTCAGCCTCAGGCTCTGGACCAGACATAGCTCCAGAACAAGTATTTTTAATGGAAAAAATCCTCACACAGCAACATGAACCAGTGGGCTCTAAACCGCAGTTGGAATCTAAACTTCCTTTTCTATTTTCTCACTCTCCTTGCCTCATCCTCTCCCAAACGTCTTGACTCTTGGTAGGGTTCCCCTGGCACCAGCCACACTCCTCACTCAAGTGACCATGTTTGAGCCCAAACAGTCAGTGGAACGAGAGGGAGCATGGAACTGTATCATGCTCTCAGCTGACATGGATACTTGTGCACTTTCTAGCAAGAGGCTGATCCATAGCTCAAACTCTTCCTTTGATTTAGTCTGGGGGCACTGAGGCCAAATCCAGCAAACCTACAATCATTTATTTTTCCCAGAGAAGAACATCCTGCTTTCCTAATTCTGGAGAGTGTAAGGCACAAGGAGGCAAGAGCCAAGGATCAGATATAGTAAGAATAATCTTTGCATTTGATATAGTGCCTTGTCACTTCATTGAGGTGTCTCAAAGTGCTTCACAGGTTTACTGTAAAGTGCCGTATCTGTTTTTTGTAGGCAAATGTGCCAGCGAATTTGTAAAAAGCAATGTCCTTCAAACAGCCAGGAAATGGATGTCCAATTTTATCTGGGGGATTGATGGCCTAACACTGAGAGAAACTAAAAAATAGTGACAATATCCCTTTAAGATCTTTCTTTGGCGTTATAATACCAAGGTGTGTCAGCCATAATTCCTTTTCATCAGAGGGAAAAAAGCATATTCTGATAGAGTAATGGTCAAACAATCTTTTGGCCTTGATGCTGAGTCTGTCTAACTAAGAACACAATGTTCTATTGGGGCTGTTTACAGAAAGAATGCAAGTAAACCTGATAAGCCAACCCTGGCCAGGAAGCTCATTTTCCAGTTGTATCCTTGCCGTTGCCTTCCAGGTGTCACAGCACAGTTAAAGTGTTAGATTCCCCCCAAACAGGTTTTAGCTTGGCTATTGAAAGGCACAATTGATATCTTCAGCAGCGAAAGCCCGGATTGACATTGGTAGCCTTCCATTAACAAGCTGTACTATGTAACGAAAGGCAGCACAATACAATTTAATTTGTTTTAGTGCCTTTCATGGTGGGGGTCATTTCAAAGCGCTTCACAATCCTGCGTGTGTTGTGTTTTGCAAATTTAATTGTACATTTTGGACGCATTAAAATATTGGCAAGTGGGGGACAGGTAAAAAAGGTTAGAATCCAACCTTTTATATCTGAGACTTGGGTTTGAATCAAATCTAAGTTTTGAATCAAATCTAAGTCAAATCTAAGTTGATGGGATATCTCCATTGTTGGCTGAAATAACTTTGAGGAGAGTTAAATCAGTTCCTCGTGGTCATGGGCTAAAAGCAGAAATTCAGCACTAATTTGGCAATCTCAGTTTTAAAAAAAAACTGGATGATAGATAGGGTACTGACTGATGCAATACGGGGTGTTCTTCTGAGGATGCACTGAAGCATATTATTGAGGCAGAGTAAGAAAGTTTTATTTGACCTCTATGCCACATCTGAGTGCTTTGATGCTAACACTAGGTCCTGTGACATTGTAAAGAATTCCATTCCCAGCACTATCATCTCTCACATTGCTAAGCACATTGTTCATTAAAGATAACAATCATTAGAAATCTAAATGGCTATAAATTAGATACAGTATCTGATGTTATTATATGTACAACGACAGGTTTAAGAATGTAGACTTTGTCCAAAATATCATTGAATTAGAATTTGTGGTTTCTGAACAGTAGGTTACATTTTGTCATTCACCATTTGTTATGGACTGGATGTCATGCATGTTCTTATCTATCTGTATTCTATTCTCTGTTATAAGTCCAATAAAAGCAAGTCAGGCCTCCTTGTAAACATGGTTAAATTAGATGTTTAATTCGCTCTTTCACTGTTGATGAAATCCTATAGAATGACACAAACGTACAATGAAAGATTGCTGAATTTGTGACAGTGGTAGATGAAATTGAAAGCAAGACTACTGTAGTAATCAATTTTAAGTGTGTAGAATTCCACTGAACATTTTAATCCTATTATAGTAATGCTTTAAATACTATTATGTTTGAAAGATGTGATAATACATCTGTGTAAGGCAGTAATAACTGAAATGAATGTATCATCATGATCTGATGAGAAAACAAGGCATTTGTACACAAGGTGATAACAAATATTTTCTGGCATGATTACAATTAGTAAAGAGAGAAAAATTAGAGACTAGAGAAATGATACTGTCTGAAATGTTTTGCTTTCCAGAATCTTTGTTTGTGTTTAATGATTAATTCTGTTAGTACATGGCTTGGATACTCCTGGGTATATTTACAACGTTGATTATAACGTGCACCGTTATGGTTCCTTGCATTTAACGATATTAATCTTAATATCCCTCCAAACTACAATACTCATTTCACTAAATGATGATGAGCAAATTCAGGCTCCTAAAACGTCAGTATCATATACCCTTTATATACGTAAGGTAGCTAAAAGGGGAAAGTAATACTCAGAGAGCGAGTTTCTTATTTAATCTTTTGTTCCATCATTTCTAGCCACAGAACCAAGTCCTTGGGCTGGTTACCTCCACCGTCGAACTGGAACTGTTCTCAGGGGCTCCCCTATGGATGGGAGATGGCGGCAAATAAAGATGCCAGAGACTACTACATCAAGTAGGTTTGAAAATTAGTGTTTTTTTAAAAAAAAATGCATGCCTTACAAGAAAACAACAATGCTCCCATTCACATTTACATAGGTTACAATGATAATGTTCAGAGACAGTGAGCAAGTAATATGTTAATCTACTGGACCTTGTTTTGTAATATTTGGATAACACTGCAAACAGCAAAGAAAAATCACTTTCTCTAAATCTGAACCAAAATTTATTTCTAGAGGGGTAGAAATAAAAATCAGGGAAGTTATGGTAAACTTCTATAGAACCTCGGTTAGACCACACTTGGAATACTGTGTGCAGTTCTGGTCCTCACATTATAGAAGAATGTAGAGGCACTGGAGAGGGTGCAAAGGTGATTCACAAGGATGATCCCAGAACTCAGAGGTTGTATCTATCAGGAAAGGCTGAACATACTTGGACTCTTTTCTCTTGAAAAGAGGAGGGTAAGGGGTGACCTGATAGAGGTCTTTAAAATGATGAAAGGTTTTGACAGGGTAGATATAGGGAAGATGTTTCCACTTGTGGGGGAGACCAAAACCAGGGGCCATCAATATAAAATAGTCACAAATAGATCAAATAGGGAAGAGAGTTCACAGAGAGAGTAGTGGGAATGTGGAACATGCTACCACAAGGAGTTATTGAGGAAAATAGCATAGATGTATTTAAGGGGAAGCTAGATAGGTACATGAGGGAGAAAGGAATATAAGGTTATGCTTGAAGGCTTAGTTGAGGAAGGGTAGGAGGAGCTCATGTGGAGCATAAACACCGGCATAGACCAGTTGGGCCAAATGGCCTGTTTCTGTGATGTATATTCTAATGTATTCTAATGTAATGTATTAAAGTCCTTACACAAGCATTTAATAGTCATAATAGACTGATCTATTGATATATCTCAATATAGCGATCAAAAGGACTTCACTCACTTTAGTTTAAATCAAATGCATTACACCGTCCAATGGGCTATTTTCAAGTTTACTTACAAAGTGATTGTGATCTGTGACATGTTCTGCACCTGAGTGAAGGTACAATATTGAAAAAAATAAATGTTGCTTTTTTATTATGTCTCTGGAAACTTGAAATGCAGGACCAAACTGCCTTCCCAGTCTCCGATTCTTTGTATTAACTCTAGACTTTTGGAGACTACATGTAGCAACTTGTGTGACACACTTCCATAAATCTTTTGGGATCAATAAAAAGGGCACAAATACAGTACATTGTGGGCCAAATGGCCTCCTCATATGCTAAAAAAATCTTATGTTTCTTCGCTGTTGAAAGAAAATTATCCAATATTTGGTTTGCAAATGATGTCAGATTTTTGTGCTTGTGCAAAAGTCATTAAGAACATATTTTTGTAATTTTTGCCACACTAAATGGAAATAGTGGAGACTGAGAGCTATGGCTGAATATCAAACAACTTTCTTTTTGGCCTTTCTTGTGATTGCGCTGCAATTATCTGGGTAGAAGTGATTACAAAGGTATATTTCCAATAATGTTTCACATAGAATATGATGATGTTTGTGCATGGATGGAATGTGACCGGGTCAGATTGTTCTAACTTGTCCAGAGATTTTCATTATGAAATGGAAGCTCCTGTACGCAGAAGCAATGGAAGATCACAAGATTATTTGGGATGAAGAAGGCCCTTCAGAACCTGCCATCACCCACTGAGTACCCAGACTCCAAATAGGGAGCTGGAAATAACAATTATTTTACATTATGAGTTGCCTCCAGAGGCAAGTTTGTCTCAGGCAGCAAATTCTGAATGTTCATTAATGTATTAAAGTTTTCCTCCCACCACAGCCCCATGTCAAGGTGCAATCTAAGTGCTGAAAATCCAGAGCTTCGATGAATCCATTAGAATTGTTGAAGCTTGCTTTAAGGAATGCTGGAAGAGAATCTGTTTTACTTTTAAATCTGCTGTTCTGTCAAGGAGAATGCCGTATTGCCAGTCAGTCTAGTGGAAAAAAACATAAGCAATGTCTGGGGAGAAGGGTAAGTCTTTTGCTTCCCACTGCACAATGCCAGAGTCTCTCTTTACCAATATTACTGAACACTGGTCTCCTGCTGAATTCTCAGTATTACCAGGTTATTGGCTTCCGCACTGATTTTCACCACCATAGTTTCACAGCTCAGACACAGATGCTGAAAAAGGAAACACCTTTGAAGATTGTTTTTGAAAGAAAAGGTAATGCATAAAGTTAAGCTTGTGCTGCATCAATTTATGAGCCTATGAGCCTCCCTGCACTTTTCTCCTCTCTCCCTCCATTTAGTCTTGTCAAGCCATGTACCACTTGAAAAGGAGTTGCAAATATTGAACTCATCCAGTCATGTTGGTGCGAAGTTCCTGTGAGCTGAGTGTACGTATTAATGCAATGCTTAGACAAGCTCAGGCTCTTCAGTCTTCAGAGAAAACTAAGGAGATCTTATAAAAGTATATAAGATTTTAAATGGGATTAAGACAGCAAACCCAAACAATACTTTCGGAAGCACAAAAACAGGAGAATAAGAGGGCATAGGTTTTGAGTTGTAAAGAGCAATTTCAGGATCGTTACTACAATGTTTTTCTTTACTCAGAGGGTAATTAACGATTGGAACACATTGCCAGGAAAGGGTTATTGAGCCCAGGTCACTGGACTCTTTTAAAATGTAGCTTGATGATGTGATGGGTGGATGGTAGGGTGGGTGTTCTGGAGAATTTAGATCAGATGCACTGAAGGGGCTTCTTCATCCCATACTATCTTGTGATCTTAAGATATACAGCATATGGTTCCTGTCAGAATTCCAGATTTCTGAATCCTTTAGTAATCTCACTACATTTGTTGTGTTTGTACCCCACAATTTATCTGTGCTTGCACCCACCACCTTGTAGCTGATAACAGTTACTTAGCAGAGAGAGAGATTCCAGCAGCAGCATACTCCCTATGGCACCATGTTGTGTGCTAGTTCTTCAATAATCATTTGTTTTTTTTCAGTTCTGTAAATCCAACCCTGGATTTTACAGACACAGTGAAGCTTCATTCATGCGTGCACAATGTTACTCAGACTATTGCTCCCTGTTGACTTACAGTCAGCACTCAATCACACATATTGTAATTCAACTTTCTTAAAATATGACAAGTGCCATTAACTCAGCAATTAAAATTATCAGAGGATCTTTGACTTTGATTTTCTTTAAGCAATAAATTCCACCTGAATGCTTATTTCTGCTAGCAGAGAAGATGGTTTCACTGTATGAATTATTTTCCTTATTTTTGAATTGAAAACATTTTCAGACCCATGTGATCCTTGCTTACTTTGAATGAGCACAAATAGGAAACACTAAACCTTGATCAGCCATCATTAATTGCACTACAAAATGAATAATTTCAGCTTCAAACTTGTTTTGCACAAATGCATTTTTGGCCCAATTAGACATCTTAGTTTAATTGTAGGTCAAATTAGTCATGGCTCTTGGCTTCTATTATTTCTAGGCACTAAACTGCAGTGAGTCACAGTAGAAACAGCATGAAACCATTTGCATTTCACAAAACTCTTCTGTAAGCACACAACAAATCGTGCTATAGAAAGCTCTTCCTGAATATTCCACTTATTTCTTGATAACAGCGTCTATAAAGAACAAACTAGCGAATCCGAGGGAAATTCCCATGAGTAGGTGACATGCATACTTGGAAATCTTGTCTGGTTCAATACTGTTAAGCACAGTATTGGGTTTATAATGATAATAATAATGCTTGTATTTGATATAGCACCTTATCACGTCATTGAGACATCTCAAAGAGCTTCACAGAAAATTTTGTAAAGTGAGTTGACTGTGTATTTTGTGGGCAAAAATGTATTTGTCGAATATATTTGTGTATTTGTTTATGTATGGGTCAGCCACCCAGCTGAGCAAAAATCGAAGTTCCCTGTCTCTGAAAAGATCAATTTCAAGATCCTCACCCATGCCCACAAATCCCTTGACGCCTAGCACATCCCCATCTTTCTGACCTGCTGTTGCCTCACTCCACTCCCCGCCACCTTCGCTCAATTGATACAGACCTGTTGTGTGTACTTCAATCTCTCCACCCCATTATCAGTGGCCGTGCTTTCAGTCATCACACCTGTAACTTCTGGAACACCCTGCCTCAATCCCGCCACCTCTCCCCCTTTTTAATTTATCTTTAAAAGCCACCTTAAGGCTTATCTCTTCGCTTCTGGTTAGCAGCCCCTTCTTCCTTGCTCAGCGTCCAACCCCGACACTATACTACACTCTCTGAGACATCATCCTGCATGAAGGGCGCTATATCAAACTGCATGTTATTGTAACATTGGAGTTTGATTGCATCACCATAGATGGATGAGCTTTCAGTCATTATGCCTCTGAGGTCCAGGACTCATGTGAAGCTATGATAATGATAATAAGAATAATACTTGCATTTGATATAGCGCCTTATCACATCTTCGAGACACCTCAAAGCACTTCACAGAATATACTGGCAACCAATTGCGCACAGCAGTGTCCCACAAACAGACCTGGATAAATGTGACTGATCTATTATTATTATGTTTGAATAATATGATGGCAGTTTCTGTGGTTGGAAGCAGCTGCCTTCTCTGCACTTACATTGAGTGGATCGGACAAGCAGTTAAGTAACATCAACACAGTATGATCAGGTCAAGTTAGTACCATAAAATTGGACAATTTTTCACAAGACGCAAATGTGGACATGTTAATTTGTCAGAAGCACAAGCTGCTGAATGCTACTCAGCAAATTCCACACAAGGTTTAACATGGGGCTGTACGTCAGTGACTTACATTGTTGGGAACTGTAAGGAGCAATAATCGAAAAGCTACAATGTAATTTTCAATTATTAAGCAGCCTAGCAGCTGCCCATGATCAATTTGAAAAGATCACTTTAAATTATTTAGTCAAAACACAATATCCTTTTGCAGATGTACAGAGACATATGGTGCTACCTTGTGGACAAATGTAATTTCTAATGATTAACATTTTTATT